GAGAATTGCTTGAGCCCGGGAGTTCGAGACCAGCCTGGGCAAGATGGCGAGGCCCTGTCTCTACAAATAAAAAATAAAAAAAATTGGCTGGGCTTGGTGGTGCGCACCTGTAGTCCCAGCTGCTTGGGAGGCTTAGGCAGGAGGATTGCTTGAGCCCAGGAGTTGGAGGTTGCCGTGAGCTATGATCATACCACTGCACTCCAGCCTGGGTGACAGAGCGAGACCTTGTCTCAGAGGGGGGCAAAAAAAAAGGATGACTTAAAAATTGAACGAACATAATCTTAAAGACCTACTTCAGACTTGCAAATTAAGCAGACCAAATGGAGGAGGTATGAGACATCTTAAAAAATGGTGTGTCCAAAGCAGCCCAGTGATTTCAGAGCATCGTTCCCCCATGGAAACACAATTGATATCAAAGGAAATTAGTTTTTTTATATCATCTAATCAAGAAACTAAATGACCATTTCAGGCCCATGTAGGGGGGCTCACTCAGGACTCCTGGATAAAAATGTTTGAGACCAGTAAGGGCCTAGCGCTTGGTCGCGCTTTCCAAGTCAGGCAGCAGCAGCTGGGACGTGCTCCTTCTCCTGGTCAGGCGGTGTCGCCAGAGGTTCCTCAGCAAGTTCCTTCAGCTGGAATGTAATTAATCCCATTAATTTTCGTGTCTTACACCTAGTGCCTTTCCCTATGATAATTGGAAGGCATTTTAGGACCTCAGAGTTTCATTCACCTTTGGTATAATTGGGATGCCGCTTCCTAAGTTAAGACCTGCTGTGAATGTGACGTTAATCCCATCGCTCAGCCAGTGGCTGCGTCTTCCTTCTCGTTTCTTCTTAGGGACATCACGTTCCATCGCCTTTCCTATTATGTGGTCTCTTTCTTGGACGCATTTACGAAAATATAAAAATCTTTAGTTAAATACAGCCTACCTTTTTTCCCACTTCCACAGGCATCTTCCTCTGAGGACATGGGCAGGTGGATTGGGATTTTACTCGCAGAGACGGGGTCGTCCACAGACCCAGGGGCCCTGCACTATGACTACATCGATGTGGAGATGTCTGCCAGTGTCATTCAGACAGCCAAACAAACCTTCTGGTAAGACCCACTGCCGTGTGAAATGGCACCACAGTTCAATACTTGTCTTTTCGCTGACTTAGTTTCACTTAGTTTTTGTGTGAGGATATAGTCTCCGAAGAAAAACTAAAGGCTTTCCCTTTTGCATTATCTTAATCCAAATTTTGCAGCAATGTTTTTGTCATGTCAACCCACTGGGTTTTCTATTCGCGCAGCGTGTGGCAAACTTGCATAAAGCACTAGATAGTAAATATTTTTGGTTTTGTGGGCCAGACGATTCCTGTTAATATCCACTCAGCTCCCTTTGCAGCCAGACACCGTACGTGAATGATGGGTGTGTCTGTGTTCTAATAAAACTTTATTTGTGAAAACAGGCAGTGGCCTGGATTTGGCCCATGGTTTGCTGACCCCTGTATTAGATGAATGGTTCTATGAAGCAGAAATGATTCTACATATTGCCGTAATGAGGACTGAGTTTTCAAAGCTATCCATCAAGTACTTTGTAAATTTAAATTGTGATTTAAAAAAAAAAAATGCTGCAATCATGTATAAAAACGTCCTTTTGAACGGTGAATATTTCTTTAACTAATGGTGGCAGAAATATTTATAGCAGCAGTTCTTGGTATGGTCCAGAGACCGCCTGGGGATATTCCAGACCCTTTCTGGCAGTCTGCAGAGTTAAATTATTTTCATAAGACATTGTTTCCGTCTCCCACCGTTTGGACATCTGCATTAGTGACCATTGGCTGGCAGCTTCGCACCAACAGTCGTCCTTCTCTGTATTAATAATCATTGTCACTGCCAGTGTAAATAGTCAAAGAATTTTACCATTTGCGATAGTAAAAGAAAATGCTGGGCTGGGCGCGGTGGCTCACGCCTGTAATCCCAGCACTTTGGGAGGCCGA